CTTAAAAAATTAAGAAAGAGTAGAAGAGGGAGCAAATAAAATTTTCAATTTCAGGTCTTAAAGTGACTACTTTATGATAGCGAAACCCAACGGAGCGCGACTCCCAAGCAGTGATGCCAGTGATATGTCAATTCGTTATACCACTTACTATGTCTATTGCATCTTCTAATGATTCGACGTAGGTAACTTGTATGCCGTGAAGAATGTCCTTGCCATATTTCTGAAATATTTCATGTTTGCCAGCCTGAACTGCTTTTTCAAACCACTCTAAATTGGGAAGTATTTTAAAATGATTGTACAGACCTTTAATTTTCATTTCAGGTTTCCAGATCGCAAAATACCACTCCATACTGGGTTGATGAAAAGTTCTTAAGCTTCGTTTATCGAACAAGAAAAAATTAACAGGTATTTCTTCTATTAACGTTGAAACGGATGTAAAAATAACCTTAAATGCTTTTATGGGTATGTAATCATTAACAGACTTGCATACTGCCATTTTCAAGTCCGCACAATAAGTTACAATGGCATATTCACAGCTGTAAACTTCTTCAAATACATAGGGTAGGTATTTTTCTTTGTCCATATTAAAATTCTATAATGATGTATGAGATATCGTCTGTCTGGTCGTTTGTGCCCTTCCAGCTGAGATGAGCCTGAAGAATGGTTTCTGCCAACTCATCGGTTTTTTTCTGATGATTCTTTTCAAGCAATTCACTTAATTGCCTGGTCATATATTTTTTATCGTTGTTGCCACCAAATTGATCAACAAGGCCATCTGAGAACAAAATCAGTTTTCCGTTTTTTTCGTAGTCTAACTCAAAACTACAAAGCTGCACATTTTGATTTTGACCTATGGACGTTTTGGATGTTTGCAGTTTTCTGACTATTCCATCTTTTGTTAAGAGTAACGCTTTTCCATTTGCTGAACAGTAAGTTATTTTGTTTGATGTGAAAGAATAATAAAAAATAGTGCCTTCAAAATGAGCAATGGAATGTTTGTTTTTATTGAAAGTGTTATACAATCTGTAATTCAGAAGTTCGAGTAAAACCTGCGGATTGTCTATTTCCATAGAATTAGACACCTCGTTCAGAATAAGTGACCCTGAAATGCTTAGCATGGCGGCAGGTATACCGTGACCTGTGGCATCCAATAAGCCAAAAAAAAGTCCCGAATTTGTGTTTTTTACAAATATGGTATCACCTCCAATAGCTATTTGTTGTAAAACTTCATAACAGGCATCTTTGAAGAATACCTTTAGTATGCTTGTATCCGGCTGGACGGATGTTTGTATTATTTTTGCGAAATCAAAGCTACTCAAAATATCACGCTGCTTCTCTTTGAGTTCGTTGTTCTTGATTTCCAGTTTTTTTTGAATATCTCCTAAAAATGCGGTTGTTCTTAAAAGCATATCCTCTTTAGCCTCCAGTTGTTCTTTGTAATACTCAAGATCCACTTTTTCTCCTTTCTTTAGCAGAAATAATTATTTTAAATAAGCGAGTAAATCTTTGGGAGAGCCCATTATTTTAAGATTCAGTTTACCTTCCAGGTAATCGGTAATGGTAGCATTTCCACTAACCAGGAATGTGGT